TAGTATGAGATGTGTGGATATGTTGGCTGTGTAGTCGTATATTAGTCTAAGACAGTCAGAAATTAGTCTTTGAGCGACGGATATTTGTTTGTGTTGGTAAGGATATTTATTATGCTAGGAACGGATATTGGTATGGGTGGTGTGGATATTATTTTTATTGTGTACAGATATTGGTCTGCTATGGTTTTCTAGTACGCAAAACTAGTGAGAACACTCGATAAAATTAGTAGTCAAAGTCATTCCGACATGGCGATTATAACTTTCCAAACAAAAAATAGTACTTAAGAAAATTCTTTGCTCAAGTGTGGGATTGCTGCTCCAAAATGTCGATCATCTTTTGGACTTTTTCCCGCCTCGATAATATCTTGACCTCACAGGGATTAAATGTGTTTAATTGATTACTAAATGTGGGTAATTGATTCAATGTGTTTAATTGATGACTAAAGGGAAAAACAAACCGATGAATCGTGAAGAGGCAAAGAGATCGAGGATATTAGTCTGGGCTTTCAGGATATACTTTGGCACACAAAAAGTATTAGTCTGAGCTTTAAGGATATTATTCTACATAAAGACGGATATTTTTCTCGGAGGTTACGGTATATTTTTGAATAAGAATTTATGTTGTTAATTATATCCAACATTTGACAAAATATTATCCATCTTGCTACAAACCAACATCCTTCCCTAAATATTATCTAACCCTAAGTTCAGTTTTACAAACCAATATCACACTACACAAATCTAAGATAAACTTTTCTTCCTTTTCCCTCATCGTCTTGGTCATCACTTTCTTCATCCTCAATTTCTTGGTCCTCATTTTGTTGTTGTTGTTTGGCACATTTAGGCCTAAAGGTTTCGCCTTCTGATGTGGTCCTCATTGCAGTTGATTTAGTTCTTGTCATTGCAGCTGGACTTCACATAACGAATACCCCAACCATCAGAAGTAATATCAAACAAGTCATATCTAAATATATCAAGCAACTATCCAGGCAATTCACAAATGATATCATGGTTGACCAAAACCAATATCAATGTAGGAATATCCAGATATATCAAACGACTATCCAGGCAATTAAAAACTGATATCCTGCCCGAAATAGAACTAATATCGAAACGCACACAAAACATATCCACAAAACCCAGAAAACAAAACAACCCAGTTCTAATCAAATCCACAAAATCCACAAACAAAGCAACCCAAACCCAGATCCAGTCACATCCACAAACCCAGTAAACATATCCACATAATCCAAATATATCAAACAACTATCCAGGCAATTCACAAATGATATCATGGTCGACCAAAACCAATATCAATCTAGGAATATCCAGATATATCAAACAACTATCCAGACAATTAAAAACTGATAACCTGCCCGAACAGAACTAATATCGGAACACACACAAAACATATCCACAAAACCCAGAAAACAAAGCAACCCAGATCCAATCAAATCCACAAACAAAGAAACCCAGATCCAGTCACATCCACAAACCCAGAAAACATATCCACAAAAGAAAGCAACCCAGATCCAGTCAAATCTAAGTTACCAGAAAACAAATCCATCAAACTCATACAAAAAACAAAGAAAAACCCAGATCTAGTCGAATCCATGAAACCCTAACTTCAAACACTACTAATTTCTTTGAAACACAAAATCTGAATCCAAGAAACAAAATCAAAAGAAAAATAGAACAATCTTCAGAAACTCGATTGAATCACAATAAGCAAGGTGAAGAATGAAATAGAGACGAGACGAGAGAGAGAGAGAGAGAGAGAGAGAGAGAGAGGAAAAACACGATTACCGTCGTCTTCTTCCTTCAAGCACAGCCACCGTCGCTGACAACTTCTTCCTTGTCGCGATACCGTCGTCGCCGTCGTTTTCACAGTCGCCGTCGTCTGCTTCGTTAGAGTCTGAGAGTGGTTCTAGTGATTATTGAGAGAAAAGGGGAGGAGGAAACAAAAAAGTTTTGAGGAGAGAGAATGAAAACTGACAAAGTGATTTGAAGAGAGAAGGAGACTAAGAAAAGGCAGTCGTTTTTTTTAATTTGTGGGCCCCCTTTGGATAGTGGAATTCGGGCAGCCGATGGACTCGGCTCTCTTCCTCTCACAAGTCGGCGCCAATCCTCCTCCACCGTCCGATCCGGCTGGACGACGTGGCCATCTATCCTACCCTGTCAATATCTCCTAACAAAATGGCATGTTAGGAGCATAACTAGGTTGCCTTCACTCACCATTTCGTCTTCATCACCCATCCTGGTCGGCTACCCAACCTCGCCCAGAGCACCTTCACCCTTGCTCGCCGATGGCACAACCACGCTGGCGGCCCAACCTCAATAGGAGCTGATGCGTTCTTCCTCTGACATCGCATCTTCACTCACTCTCTTCGTCTTCTTCACCCATTTTCATTGGCGGGCCAACTCGCTGGGAGCAACTTTGCCCACCCTCCGACATCGCGTGTTCTCGTTGTCGTCGCCATCCTGCTGCGCCTAAGCACCCTCTCGTTGTGGTCGTCTGTTCCTGAATCCAAACATTTTTGTTTTCATTCCAGATCTATGATTTTGGATCTTAATTGAATATATAAAGTCCATATTGATGGCCATTAGAAATCAAGTTCAGTTGACTGTGGAGGATTCACTTTTGGCTTTGGTGGATTGGATGGGGTCACGACACATAGGAATAGGCTTTGATTTTGTGGTTCTTTAGAGAAAGAAGAAGAGGTCGAAGGACAGCATGAGTTAGGTCTGGTTGGAGCACGAAAAATTGAGTGTTTCTTATCACAACCCTTTTTCGTAGCAGAAGTATTTACGGGTTCTCCGGGAATCGACGACGGAGGAGGCAAAGGAGCAAAATTCTGGGTTTGTTTCTTGCCCATTCCCGATCACTGATCCACCCGCCGGTTACAAGCGGGGATGTCTATGGTCTCTCGAGGATGCCATATGGAGGAGAAGACTAATGAAAATGGGGTCTGTTCGGAGAAAGGAGTTGAAGAATGATGGGGAGTCGAAGAACAAACAGGGGAGTTCTACTTGCGACGGAGAACAAGATGAACAAAAAGTGAAAATAGAAATTTGACTTTTTTCATTAAAAACCCACTTCTCTAAACAAACAAGAGATTTAATACAAATCCTTAATCATAAAAATATGGTTTTATAAGAGATTTAATACAAATCCTTAATCATAAAAATATGGTTTTATAGTTGAGGGATTTGGACCCAAATCCTTCACAAATCCCTCTAATTAAAATCCTGCATCCAAACCACCCATAAATGTACTTGGTGGTCAGTACCTGGTCTCCCATAGTTTTCCGGCGAGAAAACTTGCGTTGAATTGAGATTGATTGCACCTCTGACTTATTTGGACAACGATTACTAAGACATGGCTCACACCTCTTCAAACAAAGTTCGAAAGAGGGTGTTTGATTCATGATTTTTTGGGACAAATCTAAATTAAACTACTCCTACTCCTATGAAGGTTCAGTAAGAGCTCCAAACTACGAAAATGGCTACATTAGCAGATAAAGGATAAAAATTTGATGTAGGCATTAGTTGTGTGGTTTTGGGAACCCCTCTCTCTGTCAACCCTAACTACTATTTATAGTCATTGGGAGATAACAATCGTAGAAACTGCCTCTTGATAACTCCCAAAAAGAACCGCTCCCTGCTTCCTCGGACATGGTGGTTACTCCCTCAACCGCCTAGGTGCTTCTCTTGGAACTGTCGTGAGTCTTGGAGTGTGTCTTGCCTCGTATGCTCTTGTTCTAGATCACGTGCCACGCTAGTCTTTTGATGAGCATGTGGTGTCTCGCAAAGGGGTCATAGTCTTCTTGCCTCATGGTCATGGACTTCTTACTCATGTCCATGGCCCTCTAGGGACTTAGTCACTAGTGAAATAATGCTCCACCACCACGTCCTTCTCATTCGTGTCCATGGGCCCCTCTCGTGATGCGGCATGGACCTCTCGATCATGCACATGGCCCCTCTCGTGAGGTGGCATGCCCTTCCCAGACTTAGTATACTTTGTGTCATTCGGTCTTGTCATGAGGCGGCATGACCACTTTATTCATGGCCATAGACTTCTCAATCATTTATGTGGTCATTCTCGTGACACGACATGGTCTTCACATACTTATCATTTTTCAATCATGTCAGGGCCTCTTGTCTTGCGTCCATGGCCCTTCTCGTTAAGATAACATGTACTTCTAGATCCTAGATAAACATGGCCCTCTTCGTGAAGCGACACGTGCCTCTCCAGACTTAATAAATTTTTATACAATCTCGTGGCATGGCATGTCATGGCCTCCTACAAGAGGCCCATATTACTCATTGAATCATATTCATGCTCAGTATTACTTGGTGACTTGGACTTAAAATCAACATCCATAAAGCTCAACTTAATAACATTAATTTATTTAAATAATGTGGTCTTATAAAATTCTTAATTACCTTGTAGCTCATCAATAATAGAAGATACAAAAATAATTTTTAGTTGTAAACAGCTATGAAAGGCAAACAGAAATAAATACAAGGCCAAACCAGTAGGTATTCCACCCATGACCCAACATTCCTATTGGTAGAAATGTCAGGCCCAATTATGAATACACTTACCTAGAAGCATTGGGCTTAATTGGTTTGAGTTGCAAGGCCCAGTAGATGTCCAATGGCCCAGTCCCACGAAACGAGAAAAGGACCAGGTCGTGGGAACCCAATGCCCACATATATAACCAATTTAATCTGTGTAGATCCATCCAAAAGTAGAAGTCAGAGCCCAATGGGCAAACCCGAACATGGTATCAGACGAGATGCTGTATTTTTGGTTAGCTTGACATCAATTTTATTTTATGATTATATTGGTGTTTGTACTTGCCATCAATTGGAGCATCGTCGACAATATTCTTCCGATCTGAAACCGAGGACTTTACTACTCTAGATGTCTAGATAAACTTCGAGATACTCAAATTACATCAATAACCGAACGTAATGGGACTTCAAACTTCAAATTTTTTTTTTTTTTTTGCTATTCAACCGATCTCAAACGAGATGGAGATAAGATCCACACACCGTCAATTACAAACTACGTAACCAAGACACATAGTCGAACCTCGACAGGACCCGAGGCGACAAACTCAGGGACTTTTTGGCCACTAAATGAGCCTCCCTGTTCCAATGACGACCTACGAAACGTAGATCACAATACCCCCCAAAACCAGCCAACAAGGCTTGGATCTCACGCAAAATTGCGCCAACTTTAGAATCATTGAAATCCCCTGCCAAACATTTATCCAGGATAACCTTCGCGTCGCCCGTAATAAGAAGCGATGTGAGCTGTCTTGTGCTGCATTCCTTGAGACAATCCTGAAGAGCTAGGTTCTCCAAAACATGAGCATCTTTGATCCCTGCATAAATGGTTGCCGCAGCTGCAATTGGAAACATCCCTGCATCAGACGAACCGTCCCCAATCACTTCAAACCTCAATTAAAGGATGATATTACCTGTTTCATGGCCCATTTTATTAAATACCAGCAGATTTTATCATTTAGAGAGAACTAATGGGCTCAGACCTAGCAGGTCAGGCCGAGAGGAGATAATCCCTTCCTTTTCCTTCACACACAAAGCACAAAAACAACTAGGATAATAATCATACTTCATATGTACGTACGTGGTAGCTAGTAACGCACTACAAACTACCACAATGAAACAGAAAATACAACTAAGTCATCTAATGGCAAAAAAGAAAAAAATTACAACTAATGAAGAACAACACCATACATCTAATTAAGTGCCACATAGAGCAATGGAAAGGTCCAGGTTGAGCGTAGGATTCGAGCAAGACGACGACGAAGATACGTCCTTAAACCTACTGCCATAATTACTATCGTAGCAGTAGTAATGCGAAGAGAAAGTAGTGAGACTCGAAGAAAGACCGCCGTCAACCTCGCTGCCTCCGCCGGGCAATGACAACGACAACGACAACTCGCAACTACTCCGACCACTGCCACCGTTGCCTTCACTATGGCCAACTACCCCCGTTCTCTCATCACCGCTGCCAGCTCCTCCGGCGGCCACCTCCGGCAGTTCCTTGCTTTTCCAGCTGGCTACTCCGTTAACTAGATCGGCGGCGGTCTCAACTTTCATAACCTGTACGATAAATACGATAGAGATTTGTATTAAGTTTAGAATGAAAATGGGTAACGCCGTAATGGTGATAAAGTACTTAAACAGTTAATTAATTTATGGAAAGATATCACCAAATGAAAGATACATTATACTTTTTACTTTTCGCTTCCAACTTTCTGTATCCCTACGTTTTGGTTTTGGGTAAAAGAAGAAACAAGAAAGTGTCATCATACTACTGCCCTAATAATACCATTCGAAAAGAAGAAAAGAGACAAAAGTCAACAAATATGCTAGAGTAGAGTGTACTAATATATGCTTCACAATCACATTCTCGCTACATTCCTCTCTACACCTTCTGGGAAACAACAAAACAGTAAAAAAAAAAAAGGTAAAAAGGGTAAATCCTTTTCACATAAAGAGAAGTGAACATTTGCCGTCCCACTTTGATATTAGTAGAAGTAAATATGAGATGTGACGAGACACCAGGGAGCTAACGGTGGTCAGAAACCAAATCTACCATCTCAGCAAAAACCGATCACCAGTCCTTTCATAATAAAAATTTTGACTCCTCAAGGTAAAAAGTGAAGGTGGGTGAAAATAAAAAAGTTGACTTGCTGAAAACTGAAAAGAAAGATATTATTCCATGGCGTGATGTGGTGGGAAGCAGGGATGGAATAATAGAAGTAGCAAGAGTAGTCCCCAGGCTAATATCAGTATGAGTAGTAGACTGTCGAATAATATATGACTCAATAAGAAAGAGATATGGAAAGAGGGAAAAGCAAAGAAAGAAATAAAGGGTTCTCTTCAAAGGCTTAAAAGTTAAAACAACCCCAAAACTACACTCAACCAACACAGATACAGCTTCCTACAGAGATCCCCATAAGCCTAAAAAGAACCGCAATAAGCGACAAGATGGGATCCCCATTTTCCTACTTACACCTTATTTGACTCGAGGGATTCAATATACTATGAAGTAAAGTTGAAAGGGTATGTATTATACTACTAACGTTTATTTAGGTCAAAATGGGATAACTACATAATACCTACTTTTATTGAATGAAGTAATCACGAAGAGTGTACGACATACTATCACACATTGAATGTATTATTCGTAACGGACGACTTTAAAATTTAAATTAAGAATGTGACACGTGTATACCTAAAAGAATGTGAGCAATAGAGTTTAATAGATGTACCTCGAGGAAACGAGATTCTTCCCGGTGGTGGGTAAAGCTAGAAAATCCATTAGTCGTCTTTGTACTAACTCCATTAGTGGGAGCATGGTGAGAAAGCTGCATCTGGCCACACCTGAACCCTCCTCCTCCTCCTCCTCCACCACCAATGTGGTACTGTTGCTGATTTGAGTTCATTATTCCATTGTGGATATGATGATTATGGTGGTGGGGGTTAAGGAGATCAAGCGATTCGTACGGATCAGTACCACAAAAGATTCCCTTCTTCTTCTTCTTGTTGTTGTTGAACTCAGTAATCTGATGATTACATGATGACCACCTCTTCCTCTTCTTCCTAATCCTTTCCCCATCCATCATAACAATGCTCCCATGGTCTCCCCCTTTCCCACTACCACTGTTCAAACTCTCCACTTTCACCCTGCAGTTGCAAAAAAAAAAGCAATCATTAATGGTGAAAAATGAAATCACTGTTTGACCACTGGGAATGGTATGGAAGCAGAAAAATGGAATGCTGCCAAGGAAATGCAGGAGGTGAAAAATCAAAAAAAAGGGGGGGATGCAAAAGGAATGAAGGTAGGGGGGAGAATTGTATAGTAATGGCACAGTTGCCTACTTCTGCAAAACTCTTCTTTAATTCTTTTGTTTTTTTTTTCTTTTAAATTGTTGAGCAGAGATTGTATTTTGTCTGTTTCTGTTGTTGGACTATTGTTATTGCACCTTTTTTTTTTTCTGTTTTGCTAAATGTCTACAGTGACTAATTTTATCAATGAAGGGTGGGAGAGAAATTAGTAGCTGACCTTTTGGGGCTGGGGAGAAGAAACTGGTAGTATTGATCACTTTTGGGTTGTCTTCCATCCTTCACTTCTTCTGTTCCTTCTTCGCCATTGATGGGATCCATTCCTTCTGCTTCAACACCACCACGAGCGATGAGTACTAATGGGTTGACAGATAAAATAACGATGAATCAAAGCAAGGGGGACAAAAAAAAAGTTATGGATGGAGATGAACCTTGGGTTGAGTTGGTGGTGGAAGGCAGCTGATCAGTCCTAATGCTTCTATACATCTGGTGACCATAAACCCATATATATAAAGATTGGAAACTTTAGAAAGAAACAAAGAGGAATGAGATAAAGGAAAGTGAGGGTGTAACCTGGAGATGGCTCTTGACATGGGAAATGGTGAGTCCCTTCACATCCATCAACTGAAGCACCAGTTTCGGCGTCGCCTCTGAAAAGGGGAGAGATCGATCGAGAGCGCGTTAGAGAGCATCGTGAGAAACTTGAGACCGCGAGAAAACGTCAAAAAGAAAAGAAGGAAGGTGGGTAATCACTATGGTGGCCGCCGAGGCGGTCGATGGCGTGAAGGAAGCAGTGATGAAGGTCGGGAGTCCACCGGAGGCGAGGCACCTTCGATCTTATGTACTGCCTCACTCCTCCATTCCTTCCTGCGGTTCCACACGACGAACTTCCCATGGATAAAATTACTTTCCCTTCTTCTTCTTCTTCTTCTTCACTTTGCCGGAGGTGAAGGAGAAACTGGCCGGCTGGGTTGTTTGTTGTTGTTATTATAGTGTAAAGAAAAGAAGGGGGTAGACTTCTTTCTTGCTTTCGATAGACAGTGGCAGAGTAGCTCGCTAGGAAAAGTTAATGGAAAAGAGGAGGAAAGAAGAAATGGGATGGGGAGATCACGAGAAAAGGAAAAGACAGGACTGCCGAAGCTGTAAAATTCTCCTCTCTGAACCCACCCTGTGCCTCTGCCTCTCTCTTCTGAAAGACTGAAACCACCCTTTTGCTTCTTCTTCTACTCTCACTTTCTGAATTCCTGCTTTTGGACTTTTCTCTCGCCCCGTTCCCTTTCTTTCCATGCTTACTTTATTGTTATCTGGTCAACCTACTAATTGGTCACTTTTTAGGTGTACGTGAGGCTATTTTTATGAATTGGTCATTTGCCATTATTTACATTCACATAATGGACATCAAATAATGAGGAGGATAATTTCGAACATTTACACTCTACTCGATTTGTTTTGGAGAAGGAAAAGATGGACCTTTGTCATGTTCTAAAATCTCAATTAGCGATGGCAATGGGTCGGATTTTGTCAAAGTCAAATCCATGGGTTTACTTGGGAAAAAAATTGGGGTACAACCTGCTAGGTTTGGAAAACTCAAACTCAATCCAACACGTTGAGTATCCATGGATTTTTGTCATACAAAATTTATAATAACAAGTTTTTATCAAAATAAAAGTCAAATATCAATCTCTCAATACAAATTGTCAATATATAAAACACCATTCTAGAAAATTCAAACAAATCACAAATTAACCATACAAATTGTTCAATACCAATCTAGAAAACTCAAGAAAATTGAAGCAAAACATAAATTATTCATAACAGCATGATTAATTGAAAGCTTCTTCCTCCTTGTCAATTAAGATTCTGCACTCTCCACTCAATAATATCAACTTCATTCTACACAATTAAAAAGAAAAAGGGTAATGTCTATTTTTTATCCAAATCTTTCTCAGATTCTTTTATATTATCCAAACCTATTAAAATGCTATTAATTATCCAAATCGTTCGTAATGCATCAAAATTTTAGCCATTTTTACGTTATCGTTAATAATTTTGTAACTCTTTTCTAAGTTAAAATAATAAAATTTTGGAATGTTGACCTTCATGTGTCTCTTCCAAGTCGGTATCATATTGTTAAGTCAATATTACTAACAAAATCGCTAACTAAAAGTTAACATTTGGCTAATTCTTAGTATTTCGGTATGTTTGGATAATATAAAAGAATCTGAAAAAGGTTTGGATAAAAAATAGACATTGCCCAAAGAAAAAATTACACTTGTCTCCACAAACATAATGAAGATTAGTTACTTAGAATATTAAATATATCAGGAAAATTAATTATATGGGTGTGTGCGGGTATCCATAGGATGAGTATACCTAAACTCAAACCCAACTCAACCCGGTGAATAGTGAACGGGTTTAAACCCTAAACCCGTCAACATGAGTTTTATCCGTGTTAACCGGGTAGGTACCCGTGGATTCGGGTTTTGTTGACATCCCTATTCTAAACTGATATGTAGTGTTTTGCTCTATATGATGTTTAATCAAATTACTTATACTTAAAGTTTTTGCAATATACTTAAAATGTAATATAGCTATAAATTTTTAAGTACTAGTCCTTAATAAGGTCTCATGCACTAACAAGTAGGGGTGGAAATTTGTAAGGTATTGGTATCCCAATACCAAATACCGAATTACACCATAAAATCAATCTCAATCCCTAAAGATTTCGGTATCCCAATCAGTACTTCGGTATCCCAATCGGTATGATCGAATACAAAATAAATTACATTTGCAATTAATAATTAAATATATAAATTAAATTTTATTGTAATTTAGGGCAAAGAGCCTTGAGTTGCCTAGAGCTAACATCTCAAGTTATTGTAATTGGTAATCTTTAATTTGACGAATTAGAGGTTGAGAGACGACTAATACTAGTGTGAAATAGTGATGGAATGATCTATGTATAATTAAATGACACTCTTGGTGGTTGATGGTCGCGTAGTAGTGAATGAGAGAGTCTAGTTGAGAAGATGAAATACACATTAACTTATATTTCGATATTGGTCGGTATTGGTATATACCGATTCCAATCCTGTAATCCCTAATACCAAATAATAATTGAAATTCAATTTTAATCCCAATCCCACAAAATAATACATGTATTCGATAATATAAAATATAGACAAATTCGATATGGTATTCAGTATATCACAAATACCGGTACCAAACTTCCAACCCTACCAGTCAGTACTCCAGTCCACATATTAAACCTGAACCTGATCTACCATATAATATTGTATAGATATTAATATACCCATCAAGAATTCGACCAGTTGTCGTTGCTACTTCAATTGATAAAAATGGTCGTTGCTTGACAAGCTTCAACTTGTCAATAGATGTGTAAAAAAAAATTGACATAGGGGTTTGTTTGTTAAATAATGGAGGTAAGGAAAAGGGACCAAAGTAGATCATTGGCGTTTGTTTTCACGTCCGCTGGTTAGCTTATCTCCCCTGTTCTTTTACCCGCTGTGTTCTGGTTTTTCTCAACTTTGTTACTTGTCGAGATTAGGACGAGCATTGGATATTGACCAGAGCGAAGAATAATGATTACCTCTGCCTCTGGATTTGGCTGGCTGGCTGGCTAGGCCATTGCAATAGCCAAATAACACAACGCCCAATTAATGCACAATTTTCGACTGCCAATTGAAATGCCAACCCAACTGCATGCTGCCTGCTCCTCTTTTGCTTTGACCTTTGTAGATCCATACACTCTCTCTCTCTCTCTCTACATCACGAGATGTCATGTGTGTAGTGTACCTAGCGGTAAATATTTTTTACCGCGAGCACACATAGAAAACGATTTGTTGCATGAAGATGAAGGGCATAGATTAAACATGGAACCAGCTATCAGTATTATTCACCGTCACGGGTAAAATATCTTATATTGGTTTCATGAGCATATCATGATAACAACAAAAGATAGTTATGTTTGAAATTTTGAAGTGCTTAGTGGGTTAAAATTTCCAATAGAAACAACTTCACGGGTGGTTATTAATTTGATTATCTGAAAATCTCATGGTAGAGAATTTATGCCTTGTTACCACTCGATCGAGCACAGATTATTTCTTTTCAGAGGTGGAAGATTCACGTTCTTTCGAACTATTTAGACACACTTTCTTATCAAGTGTCGACAATGAAGGATTATAAGTAAATGTGTACTGTGGAGATCATTTGTATGAGTCATTTGGTGTTCACAAGGATTTCAGCCCTCATCACAACTTTGCACCTTTGCATGGAGATAGTAATAAACATTTCATTAGTTTAAGAGAAAAACAAGTCTAATAATCATTTCAGTTTCTAATCTCACTCATGGGTAGATCCCTTGACCAGAAGGATGTATACCTTATTTGTGATTTACACCATTTATCTCTTCTCTCGAATAACTGGTCAGACCACTAATTCATTCATTCCGAAATTTCCGCCATTTTTTATTATCACAAAAGGATACTTATGTTTTGAACCATGACCATTTTAAAGAGAAGGAAGAGTTACAACTAATCACACTACACATATTTGTTCCGCCATTTTTATGTAATATATATGCACGAGCATAAAGAACAAACCGTGAAACATGATAACTACAGTGTTTGTCTTCTTCTCTCGAACAATACTTACTACTTCTACTCAATACATTGCTTTCAATGCAGTAGTTCAATAAGGCTGAAACTGGAATGTACGTTCCACTCATGCTTCTGTGTATTTATTTATTGGCAATATCTAATGCTGAAAAAATTAATGCAGAATGAATTTTATATATTCTGTAAATTAAATGAGAAACACACAGAATGAAATGAATAGGAAAGTGGCCATAAATAAATAAGGTCATTATTCTATTCCTGCATGCAGCTGGCCGGGGCAGCAATAGTCGGCCCGACCACAATACTTTGGGCAATGCAGTCAAAATCGCGCTTTAAAACTTAAAATCTTACGGTTTTACGCATCTAGGTCACTAAAATGCTTTCGTTTACATGTAAAATCTAAGTGCATAAAATCGGACTAAATTGTGTTTTAAAGCTTAAAAGCTTACGCTTTTACGCTTCTAGTTCACCAAAACGCTTTACGCTTTTACGTTTTTAGTTCACTAAATGGATACTATTTTCATGAAATTTATTATAAAAGGTATATTTTAAAGGTAAAACACCAACCATATGATAGATTTTAGATTAAAAGATACATATCAGGTACTTGGATGCATTCTCAACTTCAATAGAGTAATCTAATTCACTAGCTAGGCATTTCCCAAACTTATTAACATAGGCAGGAAGGTGGCTTATTGTTAAAATCTATGTTTATGAACTTATTGTTAAAAGATACTATGAGTTGCTCTACTTTAGACGTGAATTACAAGTATTTATTAACTTGTCCAAATTCTGTGCACCCGTATTTTACATAGTATATATCGTACTTAACATATTTTTAGTTATTTTACAGTATGCGTAAAAAACTTACGCTTTTACGCTTTGATTCTACGCTTTACGATTTTACCCCTTTTCCGCTTCTAGGTAGAATTGCGCTTTTGACTGCATTGACTTTGGGATCTCAAATTACTATTCGATCTTAAAAAAACACATTATTCCAATTAAATTAGAGATTGTTTTGTTTGAACAAGGTTTTTGGTGAGTTATTTCGATCAAAATAATAAATTTGGAAACATTATCGAAATGAGTTATTTGAAACATGAATAATTTTCAAATAATTCAAAATAGAGATAAACAACTGAATCGCTATTTGTCGCCCTTAAATTTAAACAAACAATTCCTAGTGGCTAGTCCCTCCCCACTCCAAACCCGACCGCCACCTCTTGAGAGAAAAAATTCCGCCGCCAACCCCACTACCTGTCGCAGCTTCCGGCGGATTCTGCTCCCCGCCACCTCCATTCCATATCAACCCAATCCCCCACCCTCATCCGTCGCTGCTGCTTCTTGTGCCGCCTGTTGTAAAATTAACCAAGCAAAACTGATAATTTTATTGAGTAGAAACCAATTACATATATACTCTACTTGCTTCCCAAC